GAAAGGAAGGAAGAAAGGAAGGAAAGGAAGGAAAGAAGGAAGGAAGGAAGGAAGCAAGAAAGGAAGAAAGAAAAGAAAAATAAATCACATTCCGTTTCACCTTCTTCCTCCTTGCTCCCCCTTTCTCTCTCAGACTCCAAGTTCCCACGTTTCCCCTCTCTCTTCCCCCTCCAGGTTTCTTCCTCCCTCCCTTCCTTCTTTCTTCCCTCCCTCCCTCCCTTCCACAGGGTCTTGCCGTGTTGCCCAGGCTGAAGTGCAGTGGCACGATCTGCAGCCTTGATCTCCTGGCCTCAAGTGATCCTCCCTCTTCTGCCACCCAAAGTGCTGTGATTACAGGGAGCACCACTGTGCCCGACCCCTCCAGGTTTCTTTATTTCTCCCTCCCCTGCCTTCCCTGTGTCACCCTTCTCCTCCAGTCCCAAAGCGCCCAGCCTCCTCACCTCAGATCTGGGACTCTCAGCAGCAGCCCATGTCCATTCCATGCCCATGCCCACCCCTGCCAGGGTAGAGGGGACAGAGGAGGGAATGACAGAATTTGTCTCCAGGAATGCAGACCCTGAGGGCTTCAGGTCTCCTCAGAGAGGTGGGCTATGAGTAGTTAGTCCATTCATTCATCCACTCATTATACATTCGGTGAACAATTATTTTTCACCTACTATGTCCTGGTATTGTGCAGCCTCTAGAGTCACAAACATGACGAATGCTCAGCCTCTGCCCTCTAGGAACCAGTGAGGAAAGGGGCCAGTCAGCAAACAGGTGACTGCATAAGATCAGGTGAGGACCACAGGTGGATATAGATCAGGTGGAGATCTTTAAAGGGGGCCATGGGGCTTCCCAAGGTGCAGGATCCACCAAGTAAACTCCTGGGTCCTCCTGGGAGGCTGCTGTGCCAGGGACTGCATGTGAGGGTCACTTATCTGGGGATGGGGCTGGGGCTGCTGCAGAAGAAATGCCTGAGGCAGGGGCTGAGGGTTGCCTTAGAACAGCCCATTCCCAGGAGACCTGCGTTCCCTCCTCTGCAGGCCGTGGGCCTGGGAGCACAAGCAGAGGGCTGGTCCCACTGGGACCCTCACTGAGTCCTGCTTTCTTCTCCTTTTTCCAGCCCTCCCTCAAGGGGCCTACTGAGAACCTCTGGGGGAAACTCTGGTAGAGGAGGTGGAGAATTGTGGGGGTGGGATGGGAGAATGGTACCCCAGGATGCTGGTACTTCTGTGCTCAGCGGTCACCCACAGTGACCCTGAGGGGCCTGTGTCTTGCACCTTGTGCTGCGTCCCTTACCCCGGCTCCAGGAGGCTCACTCCACCATGCTCGCCCCAGGCACCTCACACAGTGCACTTTCCAACCTCCCCTTGGATGGCATCTGCCTCTGCTCCTCAGCCCCTGGGGTGCCTCCTCCCTGCCCACTGGCTAGAGGCTGAGCTGGTTCTAGTAGCACTCAAGGCCCAGCACCCACCCTGCCTCTAGGGTTACCTCATCCACGAGGGCCCCAGCCCCTGGGCCTCTTCCCTGTCTGGATCTCCCTCCTTTCTGGACTCCAGCCCCCCTGTTCCACTGGGCTTTAGTAATGGGATCTTTCCTGTGCCCTTGGAGTTCAGGGACATTTATCCTTCCCCTAACACCCAAACACTTGGATCCTAGTGTGATGATCTCTGTGTCATAACTGAGATGGATAGAGGTATTTAAATCAGCTTTTACTGAAGCATAATTTATATGCGTATAACATGTATCCATTTTAGATGTACATTTCATTGATTTTTGGGGGACAAGTTTATACACCTGTGTGACCATCTTGCAACCAAAATACAGAGCATTCTAGGCTGGGTGTGGTGGCTCATGCCTGTAATCCCAGAACTTTGGAAGGCCAAGACAGACAGATTGCTTGAACTCAGGAGTTTGAGACCAGCCTGGGCAACACAAATGAAACCTTGTCTTTACAAAAAATACAAAAATTAGCTGGGTGTGGTGGCTATTCTGGAGGCTGAGGTTGGAGGATTGCTTGAGCCCAGGAGGTTGCGGCTGCAGTGAGCCATGATTGTGTCACTGCACTCCAGCCTGGGTGACACAGGCAGAAAAAAATCTAGAACATTCTATTACCCACAGAGTTCACATTCAGTCTCCATCCCAAAGTCTGGGCAACCACTGCTGTGTCCCCATTGATGACAGCTGTCCCCACTGCAGTGCACACACATGGATTCACACAGTGTGCCCTCTTCAGAGTCTGGCTTCTTTTGCTTGGCTAATTTTTTAAGATTCAGGATGGAGGTTTTTTAGCGGGATTTTCTAGAAACGATGAGAAGCAGAAGCTTTGAGAAAGCTTGGAGATGCTGGGGTCTGCATGATGTGGTGGTTTAGAGCCAAGGCTCAGGGTGGAGCAGAGCTGGGACCAAATGCTAGCTCCACAGCTGACCAGCTATGAAACAGGGTGAGGTGAGCCAGGCATGATCTCTGCACCTCCATTTTCTCAGCTGCGAAGTGGGCTAATGTCACTGCATTGCTATTACCATGGACAGGAATGTGGTTACTAGTGGCTTGACTCTGGAGCCAGACTGATGGAGGCACTAAATTGACACAGGTCTCGCGGGGGCCTGGCCAAGATCTTTATCTTCAAATAGGGGCTTCCTGCTCTTTCCCTGTCCTACACATTGTACCCCACTATTTCCCCATCCCCCACCTTATTGCTGTCTTCCCCACTCCCTCATTCCATTAACTTCAAACCGACACACCCGCCATCCTCAAAGCACCTCCTCCTCCTCCCTACATTCCTCCTGCAGATCCACATTGGCCTCTCCCATACTCACCCTACACATTCCCAGTGCACTCCGCAGTGACCCCAGGGGCTGTGCCTCTGAGGGGGACCAGGACCTCACCATGTCCAGCTGGGTCTTCAGAGGCTGCGATCAGGCAGAAAGGGACACTGCTTATGCAGTGGTCACCCTAATCCATCTGGTCGTGGCCTTGAGGTGCTCAGGGGCAGAGGAAGACAGGAGAGCACTTGAACCCATTTAAGCTTTGGATGGAGCCCAGGCTAGTCCTGGGGGCCTCATGGAGTTTTCTGGCCTGTGTGTGTCCTGTCCTCTCAGGCGCCTAAAAACAGACTGACCTGCAGATAGGTTAGACATAGGGGGCTTAGCCACAGTGAAGGAGTTTGTCGTGTCCCTCCAATTCCGCTGTCCTCATCAGATATATCATTGTTAGTTTTTGTGTACATCCTCCTATTCCCCCTCTTTAAGATAATGCCTTTACAACACATGTGTATAAATGTGTGTTTATATTGGGATCACCTTGCCTTTCATCTTGATTTGTTTCACTTACTAAATCTTGTACTTTTCTATATCTGTACATAGACAGCAAACCCATTCTAATAGTTATTTGGAATACCAGTGTTTGAAGGAACTGAAAGCCATTTAATGAATACCAGCCAGATTTTAATGAGCAACATTATACACCTTTGTGTCAATGGGTCAGTACTTGGGGTCTTCTAGGTTTTCCCGAGAAGAGGCTCATATGCTGGAAGCCGTCCTGGTGCCTGCATCACAGGTGCCCTTATGACATCACAAGTCCCGCCCCTCCTCCACTCTTCCTGTTGGAGTCCTGATTAGAGGAGTGCGGACCGGAGGGTGATGGAACCATCTAGCCCCTAACCATAGGTAATTTAGTAAAGTCCAGACCTGTGGGGATTTTACGACCTGTCCCCAGTCAGATGTTTTGTAAGAGGCACTCAGAACCACACTAGCTTTCTGAGAGGGGAGGGTAAGTTCCCCACAGTTACTCATGACAGGACCCCCCACCTCCATTTGAAGTCCTAGAGAAAGCCAGGAAGCTGTCTAGAAACAGTGAGAACGGTGTTTGACTTGGTACCCAGCAGTGGGAGAGCACCTTTTATTTTCTTCCCTATTTCCCCCCATACACTCTGATTCCAGAAGGATGGCAAGCTGTTTTAAATGATCATCAAAGATAGTGATGAAATCATATCGATAGAACAGAGCTGGAAGGAACAAAGGGGAGAAGAGGGAAGCGACTCCACCCCCAACACCCTCACCCCTACCAGGCCACACCCTTACCTGCAAGTCCGTGAGTAGCTGGGTCCAGAGAGCCTTAACTAGTGACATCTCTGACCCCTGTGGTCCAGCAGAGTGACTCAAAGCTCTATGACCCTGTAATTTATTGTACAAAGAGTGGCTTCAGTGAGGGAAACAGGCACCTGTCCTCGTTACCTGACATCAATCAGGGTGTCCTAGAAAAACGGGTGAAACGTCAGGGTATGCAGAGCTGGAATGAACGGGGATTGGCTGTCTCTTGGCCCCATTTTCTTGTCAGGCAGAGAGATGTGAGTCTGGCTGAGATACAGACTGGAGATTGTGGCCAAGAGTGGGGCAGAAGAGTGTGATCTCAGACCACATAGAGTTGCGGGCTGCAAGTGGGACTGTGGGGAATGCAGGGACCAAGGGGCAAAATGCGTGTTAGTGGGTGGAGCGTGCATGTTTGTACTGATGCATGCATAGCTGAAGTTCAAGCTGTTCACAATGTGTGTGAGGTGGAGGAATCTGTTACTACTTTGTTGAAGAGGAGGGAACACAGCAGCTTATGGGTTTGACCTGAAGTCAGGGTAAAGAGGGCAGGGGGAGCAAAGCACACCACTTCTCCAGCAGGTGGGAGGGCTCTGAAGGCAAGAGTCATGGATCCCAGGGAGATGGCAGCTCTTTTACCTCTAAGTCACAGTGTTCTTGCTCTAGACTGGCCAGCAAGGTTCATGGAAAATGGGGTGAGGTAGCTAGGGCAGATGTACACCTATTTTGCAGATGGGGACATTGAGACTCAGAGGTCAAGTGAGGTGAGCACTTCCACTAACCTGTGGGTGGCAGAGCGGAGACACCTACCTGGTCTCCTGGATTCAGCCGTTGCCCTGCCCAGTGCTGAACTTTAGAGGAAGGAGCCATCATTGCTAGAGGATCAGGGCCCCTTCCTGGCATACCCTGAGTGTTTCTGTTTTCTCTTGTAAGGCCCAGAAGAGAAGATCATCATGACAGAAAGGTCTGCAGCTGTTTTCATCCAGGCCTGGTGGCGGGGCACGCTGGTGCGACGCACACTGCTGCATGCAGCCCTCAGGGCTTGGATTATTCAGTGCTGGTGGAGGCAGGTGCTGGAGAAGCTGCTGGCGAAGAGGCGGAGGATGGTGTTGGAGTTCTATGTGCAGCAGGAATGGGCAGCAGTCAGGCTGCAGTCCTGGGTCCGCATGTGGTGTGTCCGCCAGCGTTACTGTCGTTTGCTCAACGCTGTCCGCATCATCCAGGTCTATTGGCGCTGGCACACCTGCCATTCCCGTGGCTTTATTGAGGGCCACTATGAACTCAAAGAAAACCAACTTGATATTCAACTTGAAATCTCTTTGGGCTCACAGGCTTGTAAGGTGCAACAATGCATACCCCTTCCATTAAAAGAATGACCAGGTCTGCTATATCTGTGTCCCCAGCTCTCTTCGTCAGATGTATTTTCAGGAGGTCATTGTTTGAGGTAATGATGGGAAATACTAGGCATGTCACAAGTCAGCTGTGAGGAATCAGCAGGAGTAGTCTTGGGTTCCACGTGGAGAAGGATTCTGGGGGCCGTCTGAGATGAGAAGGACCTGTGATTGATTAACAATGTCTCTAACATAGGTAGAAGAGTTGCGGTTTCAGGGTGACCAAGTCAACCAACTCCAGGGAGACTATGTAAATGGAACCCCCTTGGTTGTGCAGCGTGGAAGACTATGTCATCCTTTGCTATTCATTCATTCATTCATACATTCATTCATTCATTCTTTCTTTCTTTCATAGAGACTGGGTCTTGCTCTCTTGCTCAGGCTGGAGTATAGTGGTTCAATCACAGTTTCCTGCAGCTTCCAACTCTTTCCTGCTGCCTTAGTCTCCTGAGTAGCTGGAACCACAGATGCCCACCACCACCATACCTGGTTAATTTTTAAAGTTTTTTTTGTAGAGATAGGTGTCTAATTATGTTGCCCAGGCTGGTCTCAAACTCTTGGCTTCAAGCAGTCCTCCTTTTGTGGCCTCTGAAGTTGCTGGGATTACAGGTGTGAGCCACTGTGCCCAGCCTTTTAAAATAAATTTTAAATATTTATTTTAAACATGGTGTTAAAATATACATAACATAAAATTTACTATTTTAACCATTTTAGGTGTATAGTTCATTAGCATTAAGTACATTCACATTGTTGTGCAACCATCACCACCATCCATCTCCAGAACTTTTTTCATCTTGCAATACTGAAACATTGTACCCATTAAGCAATTACTCCCTAGTCCTCCCTCCCCTAGCCCCTGACAACCACCATTCTACTTTCTGTCTCTATGAATTTGACTACTCCAAGTACCTCCTATGAGTGAAATAATACAGTATTTCTCTTTCTGTGACTGGCTTATTCCACTTAGCATAATGTCTTCAAGACTCTTCCATATTGTAACGTGTGTCACATTTTCCTTCCTCAGGCTAAATAATATTCCATTGTATGTATGTGCTACATTTTATTCATTCGTCTGTGGATGGACACTAGGATCCTTTCACCTTTTGGCTATTTTAATAATGCTGCTATAAACACGGATGTGCAAATATCTCTTCAAGACCCTACTTTCAATTCTTTTGGGTATATACCCAGAAGTGGAATTGCTGGATCATATGGTAATTCTATTTTTAATTTTTTTGTTTGGTTTGTGTTATTTTAAGAGAAAAGGTCTCACTATGTTGCTCAGGCTGGAGTACAGTGGCTCTTCACAGGTGCAATCCCACTACTGATCAGCATGGGAATTTTGACCTGCTCCATTTCCAACCTGGGATGGTTCACTCCTACTAGGGAAACCTGGTGGTGCCCTGCTCCTAGGAGGTCACCATACTGATGCGAAACTTAGTGTGGACAACCCATTGGCATAGTGCACTACCATACTGTTTTCCATAGCAGCTGTAACATTTTACATTGCTACCAGCAGTGCACAAGTGTTCCAATTTCTCCACCTCCTCATCAATACTTGTTATCTCTGCTTTTTTCATCATAGTCCTTCCAATGGGTATGAAGTGGCATCTCATTGTTTTTGATGTGCATTTCCCTAATGATTAGTGGTGAAAAACATCTTTTTATGTCCTTGTTGGCAATTTAATATTTTATTTGGAAAAATGTCTATTCAAATTATTTGCCCATTTTTGAGTTGAGGTTTTTTGGTCCTGTTAGTGTGTTGTAGGATTTTAATACTTTATCGGATATATGATTTATAAAGATTTTTCTCTTGTTCTGTGGATTGCTTTTCACTCTGTTGTTTTTGTCTGTTGATGCAAAGAAGTTTTAAATTTCTTTCTTTTTTTTAAGACAGAGTCACTCTCTGTCACCTGGCTGGAGTGTAGTGGCACGATCTCGGCTCACTGCAACCTCGGCCTCCCAGGTTCAAGCAATTCTTCTGCCTCAGCCTCCCGAGTACCTGCGATTACAGACATGCCACCACACCTGGCTTATTTTTGTTGTTTTAGTAGAGACAGGGTTTCACCATGTTGGTCTCGAACTTCTGGCCTCAAGTGATCTGCTCGCCTCAGCTTCCCAAAGTGCTGGGATTACAGACGTGAGCCACTGTGCCTGGCCAGAAGTTTTAAATTTTGGTGTAATTGAATTTACTTATTTTTTTCCTTGTTGCCTGTTCTTTTAGTATCATATCCAAGAAGTCATTGCCAAATTCAGTGTTATGAAGATTTTTCTCTATGTTTTCTTCTAAGAGTTTTATAGCTTCATGTCTTATGTTTAGGTCTTTGATACGTTTTGAGTTAATTTTTGTATATGGTGTAAGGTAAGGGTGCCTTTTCATTTTTTCTGCATGTGGATATCCAGCTTTCCTATCACCATTTGTTGAAGGCACTGTTTTTCCTTATTGAATGGACTTGGCACCCTTGTTGAAAATTATTTGACTATATCCATGAAGGTTTATTTCTGGTCTGTCTCTTCTATTCTACTGGCTTAGAGATCTGTCTAATATGCCAGTACCACACTGATCACTGTAGCTTTGTAATAAGTTTTGAAATTTGGAAGTGTGAGATCTCCAACTTTGCTCTTCTTTTTTTAGTATTATTTTGGCTATGTGGGGTCTCTTTAGATTCCACATAAATTTTAGGACAGGCATGGTGGCTCATGCCTGTAATCTCAGCACTTTGGGAGGCTAAGGCAGGAAGATCACTTGAGGTCAGGGGTTCGAGACCAGCCTGGCCAATATGGTGAAACCCCATCTCTACTAAAAACACAAAAATTAGCTGGGTGTGGTATCACATGCCTGTAATCCCATCTACTCAGGAGACTGAGGCAGGAGAATCACTTGAACCCAGGAGGTGGAGGTTGCAGTGAGCCCAGATCACACCACTGCACTCCAGTCTGGGTGACAGAGTGAGAGCCTGTCTCAAAAAAAAAAAAAAAAAAAGCCTAATAAATTTTAGAATACTTTTTTTTTCTTTTTTTCATACCCCTCTCTAGTTTTGGATAATTTCTCTATTTCTGCAAAAAATGTCATTGGGATTTTGATAGGGATGGCATTGAATCTGTAGATCCCTTTGGGTAGTATTGGCTTCTTAACAATATAAAGTCTTGTAGTCCATACACACAGGAAGTCCTTACATTTGTTTGTGCCTTCTTTTGTTTCTTTCAGCAACATTCTGTAGTTTTCAAAGTACAAATCTTTCACTTCCTTGGGTAAGAGTATTCCTAAGTATTTTAGCATTTTTATGATATTGTAAATGAAATTGTTTTCTTTTCTTTTCCTTTTTTTTTTTGAGACAGAGTCTAGCTCTGTTGCCCAGGCTGGAGTGCAGTGGCACGATCTCGGCTCACTGCAAGCTCCGCCTCCCAGCTTCATGCCATTCTTCTGCCTCAGACTCCCGAGTAGCTGGGACTACAGGTGCCCACCACCACGAATGTTTTGTATTTTTAGTAGAGACGGGGTTTCACTGTGTTAGCCAGGGTGGTCTCGATCTCCTGACCTCGTGATCTGCCCGCCTCGGCCTCCCAAAGTGCTGGGATTACAGGCATGAGCCACCGCGCCTGGCTGAAATTGTTTTCTTACTTTCCCTTTTGGATTATTTATTGTTAGTGTACAGAAGTGCAACTGATTTAAATTTTTTTATTAAATTTTTATTTATTAATTTCTCTAGTCTTTTATCCCTTAAATGCAACTGAGTTTTGTGTGCGTTGATTTTGTATCCTACTACTTTGCTGAATTCATTTATTCTAAGTTTTTTTGTGTGTGTGTAATCTGCAGGGTTTACATATAAAATCATATTGTATGCAGGCCGGGCGCGGTGGCTCAAGCCTGTAATCCCAGCACTTTGGGAGGCCGAGACTGGTGGATCACGAGGTCAGGAGATCGAGACCATCCTGGCTAACATGGTGAAACCCCGTCTCTACTAAAAAAAATACAAAAACTAGCCGGGCGAGGTGGCGGGTGCCTGTTGTCCCAGCTACTCGGGAGGCTGAGGCAGGAGAATGGCGTAAACCCGGGAGGCGGAGCTTGCAGTGAGCTGAGATCTGGCCACTGCACTCCAGCCTGGGCGACAGAGCGAGACTCCGTCTCAAAAAAAAAAAAAAAAAAAAAAAAATCATATTGTATGCAAACAGAGGTAATTTTACACCTTCCTTTCCAATCTGGATGCCTTTTATTTCTTTTTATTGCCTAGTTGTCCTGACTAGAACTTCTAATACTATGCTGAATAGAAGTGGTGAAAGAAGTCATTTTTGCTTTGTTCCTGATCTTAGAGGAAAAGCTTTCGGTCTTCCACCACTGAAGATAGGTTCTGTGGTGAGCGGGTCTGTGCAAACCTGTCCCCAAAGTCTGAGGAAACTGAGAGGTTGAAGAAAGAGGATGACAAATCCAGTCATCCAGAAACATTTAATATGGCCATACAAACACAAGCCATGTCCGTGTCTCCAGCAGCAGCAAGATAAGGTGGTGGATCCCTGCACCATCACCCTCCAGACCCAGGGCTTATCTACTACAGGGAAGGAATGTGTAGGATGATTGAAACCAACCCCTCAGGAAAAGGTGAGAATGCCATGTGAATCTGCCTTAGGGAAGGATTTACAGTAAAAGCAGATAAAGTAGAAATATTAGAAGCTGTATTAGTCTGTTCTTATGCTACTGTGAAGAAATACCTGAGACTGGATAATTTATAAAAGAAAGAGGTTTAATTGACTTCTGCAATTGCTGGGGAGTTCTGCATTGCTGGGGAGGCATCAGGAAAATTACAATCACGGTAGAAGGCAAAGGAGAAGCAGGCACCTTCTTCACAGGGTGGCAGGACAGAGTGAGTGCAAGCAGGGGAAATGCCAGATGCTTATAAAACTGTTGGATCTTGTGAGACTCACTATCACAAGAACAGCCTGGGGGAAACTGCTCCATGATACAGTTATCTACACTTGGTCCTACCCTTGACACATGGGGA